GGGAGGAGATTCAAAAGAAACAAATAATAACCAGCTCCCAAGACTGCCCTTGCCCACAAACGGAGAAAGTTTAACCATCTTTCAGAGGGCATAAAAATATATATACATGAGAGTTTTGCATCACAGCATCGTGACTGGTGTCTTTTTAAAGATTTACTAAACTTTTAAAAATGTTAGAGTGCCTTTCTAAATAAAATTTAGGTGTTTATTGCAAAAAAAAAAATCAACATGGGCATTTCAATGGTATTTCTGTAGCAGAAGCGTGTGGTTCAAATCCTGTCCTAAAAATACTATGATCGACTTGACTGTAGATACACTGACTCCGATGGTAGTTAACGGGAAAGCCGGTGCTTGCGTCAGCCTCTCGCTCATCTCCCCTCAGACGCGTGTTACTGTTGCGCCCCGCTGAGCCCGCCACCACTGTGCTCTGGTAACAGTGTAACCAGCCCCGATACACTCGAGGGAACAGGGGTGACTGTGAGGGCGTCGGGACCCTGGGCACCCCTGCCGTTTGCGTGTCATTTGCAAAGTTTAAGCAGTTTCCCTATGGTCGCTCGCAATAATGCATTTCTCCTGAAGACCGCCTCCCGCAGGGGCCAGGACCACTCACCACGAAGAGAGAGCAGTGGCGTTCCGGCTTGTCGGGGGCTTTGGGGAGCCCGTTCCTGTTGAGCCTCAAGAAGAATCTCTCACTGCAGGAGGAAAAGAAGTTCATGTCTTAAAAACTGTTCAGTCATTCGGGGCTCGGCAATTTTCCAGGTGCTGCTCATCCCAAGTTAGGCTCCAAACGCATCAGGCCATTCAACTGACACCAAAAGTTTTTCTAGGAGATGGAAGCACACCTGAGACCATCAACATTTCCTTCCCTTCTGACAAAACTAGGGGAGCAGCAACTGCAGAAGCAGAAAATGTAAATATACATGCAAACAAAATTAACATTTAACATTATAGAATTGTACGCTTGTAACCTATATAATTTTATTAACCAATGTCATCCCAGTAAATGTAATATAAAATTTTTAATTAATTTTAAAATATATATATAGATCTTCATCGCCCGGTGATATATAAAATATATATATCTGGGCAAAGATATATATACATACACACACATACACACACACACGTCTTTATTGATTTCAGAGAGGAAGGGAGAGGGAGAGAGAGAGAAACATCAATGATGAGAGAGCCATTGATCGGCTGCCTCCTGCACGCCCCCGACTGGGGATCGAGCCCACAGCCCAGGCATGTGCCCCAACCAGGAATCGAGCCGAGATCTCCTGGATCCTAGGTCAATGCTCAACTCTGAGCCATGCCAGCCTGGCTAATTAACTTTTAAAAGAATAAAATAGGCTTCCATATCAGAGATATCATTGTTATTATTTTAATAACAGAAACACCCTAAAAGAGAAAGCACGACCTAACATGTTTCGTGATTTTTTTTTCATGCCTGTGCCATATTATTTCATCAACATCACACGAGGACGCCATCTGAGTGCTCTCCATCCATGGGAAGGCTTAATATTTTATGCTCTCATAAATCTATAATCCAAAACACAAAAAGAGGGCCCAAGAAAGGCAATTTGACAAACCTGGTCCCCAGAGTCCAGGGTAACTCCCCCAGGAAAAATGAAAGGACTGGGACTTTTGACTTAGCAGGTTTCAGGGCCGTCCCTGGTTCAAAATTGTTCCTTTGTGGTTTCCTCAAAGAAACATACCTAGAAAACTGACTTGGGAAATAAATTATTTTACTAAATAAATGCAGAACTCCAAAACCATTTAAGAACTTGGTTTCAGCTAGTCAGAGCTCCTGAGCGTAAGACTGGTATTTGATTTTGCTTCTTGGACATCAGTCACCTACTAATACATAATGTTTATTGATTATATTTTAGCCCCAAACACACATGACCCTTTCCCCTCTTCTGGATCACGGTCAGCATACTGTATGTTTTCTGAGATGTTCCTCTTCATCCTACTGACCCATGGGAACCAAATTTTACACTATCCTCTGACAGTGGGTCTAAAGTAACAAACAGCAATGAGATGAGCACACAAAAGTCACCAGGGCGCCCTAGATACCAGCAGCTGAACGTTAATGCTGATACAAAATACTCTCCCATATCTGCAAATTGCATCAACACTCTGGTAAAACAATGTTTCCTAAAGTATCCACTTCAGAAAGAGATCCCGTGGCTCTGTCACTATTTTCATTCCACTGGTCTAGACAGAATCCTGATTACGCAAGGACGATACTATATCACAGCCTGTTCCAGAAGGAACGTCAATATGCACAAAGTGATGACAGTTCCCTAGCTGAAGCTGCCTCCCGGGGGAGATAAAAAGACCCGAGGAAAGAAGGCATGCGTAATATTGGTAAAACCAGACTTCTTTTAAAAGGAAAAAGAAAGCTTTTGTGGCCAATATTTTAAAAATCCTTTTTATTTATTTGGTGACACGCTGTTATGCAAACTCAATCCATTTCTCTTCCTACGGGGCGATGTAGCAGCCACTTAATCAGCAAGTGGCGAAGAGGAAAGAAAACCTACCCAATGCCTCTCGGAGCCTTTGGATCACAGATGCCCGCCCGGCCTCTCACGCCCGTTCGGAGGACACCAGAAAGCATGGCTTCGAGGCTGGGGACACTGAGTAAGTCCAGGGCATTTCATTCTGGTGCAGCTTCTAAAATTCTCTCAAACTTCTGCGGCCACCCACGAAGGTACGCCTGACTGTCTAGTGTAAGTCAAAGGGTGGCCTCAGGGAACGAAACTAGCTTTTGCGAATTTAAAAAGTGTCCTGTTATAAGATGTGCCCGCCTCCATTACATCTCTGGCACTTTTTTCCTAATCTTCACAGGTTTGTGTGTGTGTTTCTGTTACGCCGTGAGCCATGGGCGTCCCAGTCCAGAACTATTAACCTTCCCATCTCCAGCCACCCTCCTTAGAGTCTGATAAGACTGAACAAATGCAATCTTTTAGGACAAAATAGAACAAAATGCAAATAATCCAGAAGCTTTAACTCCCTCCTGACCTTACCTTTCTTCCCCAGAAGGTCCTTTACTTTATGGGAGGGAGATGCGTGAAATTCTCCAAAGAGACATTTCAATCAATGGTGTCTCGCCACCAGACGTGAGATTCGCCTAATTAACTTCATGGCACCTCCAGATTCTAGATCGTGCCAAGGAACCTGCCCCCTGCACATTTTATATCTATTATAGTAAACACATAGCAAGAGGGAAATCTACGATGACGTCATGTTTTCCGATGAGAATGTTTCCTTCAAAGTCAAGGACTAGATAAGCAACAAGAACACTTCTTGAAACTCTGAGAAACGAGGGCTGATATCACCCGCAGAGAAAAGCCACCCGACCTCCCCCCAAGTGCCGGGTTCTCCCTGAGGCTTCCCCGCCGGAGAAATTTAGTGGCCACCGAGTCCCATATGCGAACCGCTATAAATCACTGTGTTATAAATCAGCAACGGCAAATTACTTCTTTAGAAATAAAGAACAACAAATCACAATTATTTGTTATTTATAGTCTGCCTCCTTTGAACAAGGATTGGCGGAAACCAAGATAATGAAGTAAGAGCATAAACAAGCATCCCCAGCACTGTCCCTGGGGGGAGACAGTCCAGGTAAACATATGCCCTGTGCTAGGTGCCGGGGAATACACTTTCCATGGGCTTTCTCATTAAATTCTCACAAGCACCCTGTGACACGGGGACCACGCCATCCCCACTTGACACACAGACCACTGGGCTTGGAGATTTTAGGCAAGTTGGCCAGTTGCACCGTCCGTCAGGGTGCAGCCGGGCTGTGAATAGCAGAGTCTGACCTCAGCTCTTAACCCCCCTGCTGTGCTGCCTTGGAAAGAACATCAAACCTCGGGACCTGGCCGGGGAGCCCAGTTGGCGGGGGTGCGAGAGTGGGCAGGAAGAGATTAACCGAAGAATTTATGTACATATATGCATAACCCACGGACACAGACAAGAGTATGGAGAAGACCTGGGGCCGGGGGTGAGGCCGGCTAAAAGGGGTCAATGGGGGAGAAAGGGGACATGTGTGATACTTTCAACAATCAAGATAAATTTTTTTTAAAAAAAGGAAAAAAAGATTCTTTATATTTAGCGCAACTTTAAAAAAGAAAAACGAAATCATCATTAAATAGTATTTATTAACCAGATGACACATGCAGTTGGACTTCTACAAGGTCAAATCCTTTTTGTAAACGAGGCAGCTACGAAGTGTCTAAACTGATCTGGAAAAGTTAATGTGTATGCGAATAGGTTCGATACTGTGTGTCCAGGAGGTTGGAAGGAGCTTAGGCACTGGAAGGGTTAGGAAGCACTGCTTTTCATATGTTTGTGAAATGAAAAGAGCACGCTGGTTACATTACAAAGAGACGGTGTAGAAATCCAGCCTTTCAGAAGACCTCTCGCCTTAGAGCTCGGTGGGATTTCATGCGCAGAGTGTAAGTCCTGGGCGGGCAGGTATGTTCCTTTCCCTGTTTTACTCACGGGTGTGCTCCCGACGCGCAGCTCGGGCCTGTCCCCGAGCAGGGGCACTGACTTTTGCCAAATGAATGAACATCAACGATTCAGCAGCAAGGGTGTGAAATCGATGCTGTTCGACGGAAGTGAAAAGACGACACAGACGATTTAACTTGTAGGAGAAAAATCTCTAAATGGAAAGACGGGACAGCGTGCCGTATGCACCCGCCAGTTTTTACGGACGCTCCGTTCAGCATGACGGCTTCTGCCGAAGACGCTCCCCCGGGACAGGTCTGAGCGCAGAGGGCAGACTAGGCCCCGGCGACAGGAGGCGGCTCCACAGGCGCGTCCCACGCCCCCACGCCCGGCCGCTCCCTCTTACTACTAAGCACATCCCGCTGGAGTGGAAGGAGGAGAGGAGAGGTTAAGACAATCCCGTCAGGGAGAAGGTTGGAGGAGCAGGTGTGAGTGGCCAAGGGAAAGGGGGCGAGGGGAGGTCAGGGGGAGGCAGGCGCCCTTGGCAGCCCAACCGCATTGCAGAGCAGGGAAAGAGCCAGCTCCTCGCCTGAACGTGGGGACCATAAAGACGCTACTTAGAGGATCCTGCACCCCAAATAACCCAAGTATATTTCCTACTTTCATCAAGTAAATAGAAACAGAACCAGGGCCACTCTGTCGATCAAAACCTAAAAGAACGTTTTAGAAATTCTGAAACTTTCACATACATCAATCACCCCATCTGACTTCAGGGCAACCTCCGGAGGGCAGGGAGCTTAGCGATCGTGGGGTTCTACAGGGGAGCAAAGGAGGCCGAGGGAAGAAGAGTGCACACGGTCGCCGAGTCTGGCGCGTGCCCGTTACACACGCCCACGACGGCCGCACCGGAGCTCCGAGTCCTGCCCGCCGTTACCTGATGGGCCGATTCTCCTTGCTGTCGAAGAGCGAGAAGATGACCTCGAGCTCCTCCCCCAGGTTGGAACACATGAGGCTCTTCATCTGCACAAAGAGGTGGTGGCTGCTGGCCTGCACTGGGGCGTCTTTCTTCCGATGTCGGTGCTCCATCTGAAGGACACCCCCCAAGGAAAACGTGATCAGCGAGAAAATGACGGGAGCCACCAACCAGTGAGCTGTGGTGTGGTCGTGGAGTCCCGCGCGATGCAGATGGTCCCCAACCTAGGGTGGGGACCACCCGACACACTCATACAGGGAGGAAAACAGCCTAAGTGGAAAATGCATGGACCCTGCCTAACCTACCAGAGGTCAGAGCTGAGCCCGGCCACCTCCAGCGTGCTCAGAACACACACACTGGCCTACGGCCGGGCAGCCGAGGCATTATTTTGAGTTTCGTCTCAAGAGTAATCACAATCCTCTACTTCTCACCAGAAGCAGAAAACGGAAGGGCTTGAAGGGGTGCAAAACACAAAACACAATATTCAAAAACACTGACAGGCCCTGGCCGGCGTGGCTCAGTGGTTACAGCACTGGCCCAGGCACCGGAGGGTCACGGGTTTGGTTTCCTGTCAAGGACATGTACCCGGGTTGCAGGTTCGATCCCCCATGCGGGAGGCAACCAATCGATGTGTCCTTCTCACATCAATGTTTCTCTCTCTCTCTCTCTAAAAATCAATATATAAAATTTTTTTAAATACAACAAAAATGTCATGGTAAAAAGTGTTATAAAAGTTTCTAACCATTCACTCGCCATTTCTGTGCCAGGCCCTATGCACAGGCCTGTGTGTGAACAGGGTGTGGGCTAAGGATGTGGAGGATCCTGCTTCCCGGACACAGACAACCAAGAGCTCATCTCTTTTCAGTCGCTTGACAATCAAAACAACAGTTCAGGGATTTTACCTCCACAGTAGCGGAGTCACGTCCCCTGCTTGGGGCTGAGTTATGAAACCCCATTCCACACCAGCCACCTTGGGTGCTTCTAAGTTTAGTTCAGTGACTCCTGGCTGGCTGACCGACATCTGCAGGCGACAGTGTCATCTACATTTACAGAAAATCGCCAGCATGATTCACACTTTTATCTGTTAATTTGCACTACTCAAAAGTAAACGGTTAAAAAAGCAATTAACCAAACGCATCTGTAATCATTGCGTGCTCAACAGGCATGCCGGAGACGTCTCGGTGAAAACAGAGAATACAGCACATTTTCTTCAAAGGTGGACCTCAGCCCTGCGGCACGTGTTGGCCACAAGTCCTAGAAAAAGGTTCCTACAGACAAATATTCCAACTGTAGAAAAAAGCATAATTCTCCCTTGTCTCTATGAAGGTTACTCTATTTACTGCTTTTCAAATTCTTTTCACCAGTATCAGTCATAAAACTACATTTCTTTAACTCACAAGGAAGCTTTTCCCCCCCCTTGAAATTGCCAACTGAGGTACTGATTTACTGCAAAGTGCAGGGTAACAGCCCAAACTACCCTGAAGAAACGAATGGCCACTGAAGGCTCGAGCCGGAGGAACCTACAAAATCCTTATGAAAAGAAAGGATCTCAACAAGGCGCCTGGCCTTTACTTCCAACACTGCCACGGTCCCAGATCAACCGTGACATTCGCCACAACATGAGGGGGAAATGAGCTCGTCACTCATGCGAAGAGTCCACCATAATCTAGACCTGAGCTCCTGAGCCTCGGCGGCACCTGCAATGGCCACTGGAGCTCTTCAAAATACCTATGCCCAGGTCCTACCCCGGAGCAACTAAGCGAGAATTTCCAGGGGCTGGAGCTGCAGACCTGGGCCTTGCAAAAGCTCCCCAGGTGCAATGAGTTGAGAACCACTGGCTGAGCCCCTCTGCAGGGTGCAAACCGCAGCCGGATGAACAGATACTGTTGCATCTTTCGCATGATCAGCGCCCTGGAACCACGGTCTCTGCGCCCCACAGGTAAGGAGCCCGCCTGATCTTCCCCTCTGTGGACATGACCTGGGTCCCCAAATGCCACACTCGCCCCTCACCCGCTGTTCTCCCAGGTCTGGGAAGGATTCAGACTTAGCTAGGTGATGATTACTTGTGTATCTCTTGGTAATTCGCTACTCTGGGAACTGCTAAAAATATCTCTGTGAAAATACTGCTACAATAACGAAACGAGAAAGGCGCGCTGGCACCTGCAGGGCTGTAATTTGGAAGTTAAAACAGACAGACAAACCCATCTCTGAAATAACTCACGGCTGCAAAGCCAGTGACTCAAAATGCACGTACAGTTCAGGTAGACCGCTGATTAGGAAAGTAAACAGCTTCATCCCCAACACTGGAGTGACGCAAATGTTTAATCTCCAGACAATGCGCTCATTACTGGGTGAATCTTTGCCACGAGGCTTTGTGACTAGTGACAGTCTGGGCTGGATATTTCTCTGTCAGGGGGGCTGTCCTGGGCTTTGCAGGACGGTCAGCAGCTCTCTCTGGCCCCCACCCACCAGATGTCAAAAGCACCTCTCCCCATCCCCGCCCCACACCATCCCCAATTGTGACAAGGGAAAATGTCCCCAGACATTGCCCAATATCTTGGGGGGAGGGGATTGCCTCTGTTTGAGAACCACTGGTCTACCCTCTAAGGATCACAAAACGAGCTGGGAACATGATCTTATAAAACCAAGAAAGGTTCCTACATAGACCCTCGGCCTGCACACATCCCTGGAGAATCCAGCGGCTAAGGTTTCCTTTATTCTCAGCAAAGCTGGGCTCTGGCCTTGGACGGCAAACCAAACCTTCCGGGAGCACATATGTTAACACCGTGCGGTTTAGCACTTTTTACCGCTTAGATGAGCACAATTGAGCAAGAAAGATCTGCGAACAGGGCTGTCAGAAACCTAAAGTGAGACTTTTTTTAAATGATGCAATATGGACTTGGGGAGATGCTGACACCTGTGTCTGAAATATGCACAGAGAAGATGCTGTTAAAAAAAGGAGAAATGGCAGCATCCCCTGCCGGGGCCCTTAGCTCCATGCCAGGATCCTTGGTCATGGGTGACAATAAATCATCAAGACAACAAGGGACAGGTGCCAGGCCTGCCCCCTCCCTGGGAAGTCAATGTTGTCAGTCACTCTGATGTCGCCCAGATGAGACCCGGTGTCCCGGGCAAGCTGTGCGCCCCAGGCCCGGGTGTAAGAGGGCCCCTGAAGCCTAGAAGCGTTGGGGTTTTCTTTGGGCTATTTTCTTTGCTTTGGACACAGAAAAATGCAACCACTACTCAGGAGAAATTAAATATTTATGTAAAATCACAGCATTTCTCACCTGTGAACCGAAGACTGTGGACTAGGATTTGAGCTATAAAATGCCAAAAAACCAAAAACTAAAAACCAAACCCTCCCATGGCTGTCAAATTAGCCATCACTCCAGGAAGCTCAATGTAAAGAAAACTGTCTACAAAGACTAAGTTTATTTCAACATCTACGTGGAGGTGTGGACAATCCAAGCAGATCCGTGACTAAGGAAAAATCTGAAAGTGGCATTAAGAACGACTTTCTCAAATCAGACACACGCCCTGATGGACTTACTGGTGATTTTCCCCATTTTCCAGACACAGATGACCTCAGGTCAAGAACATCCCTCCGTTCTATGAAAAACACTGCGGGCTTGGAAAGCTACCTGAAGGGGGCAGGGGCTTCTGGAAAGGAGTCTGCTGCTCACCCCAGGCCCCCCCCCCAGGAGCATCACCTACAACTCCACCTGGGGGCGTGGCCTGTGAAAGCCCTTCCCAACCACCTTCCCCTCTGCCTTTGGGTTTTGAAGAGAGCTTTGTTCATATGAAGAGATTGGACAAATTTTATGCAAGTATGACTAATATGAGACTAAACACAAGCAGACTGGACCAGATTTGAGGAACCTAGATCCTAGGGGACAGCTGGAGCACTCCAAGTTAAAGTCCTCACTACGTAGTTTTTGTAACAAAACAAGGAAATCCTGTGCGATGCCGCGATGGGCACTACGGTCAGGTATCTCAGGGTTACGCACGGGCTCAGCCCTGAGGGATGGACTGGGGAGCGGGAGGGTTAGGGTCAGGCCTCCGGAGACCAAGAGACGCTTCCGGGGGTCTGGACGTAGTGACGGTGAGGCAGGGGGAGCCCGCACGGGTCAGCAAGGGCTGGAAACCACCGGTCACAGCCTCGTCCTGAAACACGACGGATGCATATGCGTGGCCTGCAAGCATTTCACTGGACCAGGCAAAAAGCACGCAGATTTGCAGGAGAACCTACAGCCCGCCTGGGTTGGCCTCCCGGTCCTGGGAGCGGGCACGGGGAGGACATCGCGTCGTCCTGAGGTAACGTGTCTTAGTCCCGTACTCGGGGCACGGCCACCTCAGCTCTCAGTTCTCCTTCCTCGCTCCGAATTAAACTCGGAGCGCCATGGAAACCACAAGGCAAGGAGGGAGGCCGAGCCGGCGCTCCCGCACCTACCAGGCGGTAGAGCTCGGTGATGCTGATGTCCTCGGGGTCCACCATCGCGTACTCTTTCCTGGGCACCAGGTCCAGGCCCAGCTGTCTAGAAAACAGAGGGCAAACGTTTGGGAGAAGAGTCACCCTTAAGGAATACATTAACAACAATTAGTTTTTACTACATCGGCTTGAAATGAGACATATCGGCCACCACGCATCTCTCGCCCGTGGTTTTTACTTTGCATGGTTACCGTGGTTGGGGACCCTGGGCAGCAGCTGAGAAACACATGATGACTTGAGCAGGCAAATTAGGGGAGAGGGGCTGGCACTCTCGGCCGGGCAATCCTGCCACGGG